CTATACCAAGTTGGTCTCATGCTCTTTTATACGATCTGATTAATACCATATAAGTGTGTAAGAAAAAAAACAAGAGAGGGAGTGGGAGAGAAACTAAGTGATAGAACGATAGAAATTAAGGGAGAATGAGAGATCGACCGAGAAAGAGAATGAGAAAATTTGAGGGAGAACGATAGGTAGAGAGAGAATGAGAGAAATTGATATAGAGTACGTAAATACAGAAACCAAACACCATTTTTATTTATTTTCAAATCACACAATTATTGAGCAGATAAAGATAATTGTAAATGAGAGAGTGTGAGGGGGAGAGAGAGAGAGAGAGACTAAAAACCTTTTTTTTATTTTATTTTCCAATCACCCAACATTAAAGGGCAATTTCAGTATAAGCTTTTTGTTGTGTCTAATGTGGATTAATAGTCTCATGTTGGCAACAACCACATAAGCCTCCGATGACATGGCGAAGGTTTTTATAATTTGAAATGTAGAGCCGATTGTTAGAGTTTTGTTGGTTTATGGACCAACTTGTAGCCTAATTTTAAATGTACAACTGACTGTAACTATAATTTTCCCTACTTTAAAACTAATCCAAAAGCAAAGCTATTTTCTTATCTAGATGGTGGGTCAATGATCTAACTTTTCAAAGAAACCCATGATGTCATAATTGAATAATAAATATTTAAGTTTATTTTTAATCATATTTTTACTTTTGTTAATTTTCAATTTCTACCTTAATTATGATGTCTAAAATTCAAGTAATTAATATGAAGAAATTTTTCTCACGTGCAATGCATGTGCTTAATTACTAGTGAATTTAAACATTCATTGTTGGGTGATCCAACTACATTTAAATATGTATCTTCTGGTGGTGAAACATCAAGAACTGTCAATATGTGATGGCATGTGATTTATTTAAATTTTTGAAAACCCTTATTTTACCCTGTTTGTCCTCTTGTTTCACCTATTACCCCTAGCTTGAAAACTGATGTGAAATAAGAGGGATAATGTATCGAAGATGAGTTTATCGCCTCAAACAGTGGATTATCATTCCAAGACCATCCTCACAAGTTGTTCAGCAACATGTTTATAGAGTTCTTAGAGAGAACTCAACATGGATATTGTTGAGTTGTGCCTTGAATTCTTGTTGTGATCTAATCCATTTAGGGTTGCAAACGGATTGGATCGGATTGAATCAGGGTATATTCGAATCTAATTTGACATTGTATATGTTGGATCTGATTTGATGATAAAACTTAATTTGAATTCGAATCCTATCAGTAAATCGGATATTCGAATCTCCGATTTGTTTTCTTTAAAAATTAATATAATATACTAATTTAAATAAAATAAAAACAAGAAATACATGTATTTTTAATTATTTTCATTATATATACATGTTTTTATAAAAAAATAAATAATATAACAAGTTTATAAAAGATAATATAAAAATATATTTATAAATAAACAAATAACATATATATGTATTATATATATTTATATTTATAAATATATAATATATCGGATTGGATAGGGGCGATTTGAATCCAATCCGAAGATCCAAATCAGGGGTGGTCCGAATTCAATCGATCAGATCTCGGATCGGATTGCCAATCCATTTGTACCCCTTTCCATGACTCCAACTAGGAAAATTTTATTGAGATATGTGGTGGGCTGTCAAGTGCCCCCGAGGGGGAGCCCATATGACCAATCCATTTTATTCTCTTCTATGTATCTTTTGGCTTGTGCATGGAAATGGAGCAAGTTTGAGTGTATTGGGATTTAATGAGAAAGATTGTTCAATCTAATAATACAATATATTCACATTATATAAGCCAAACCATATATTCTGCATTCTAATATTCGTTTCTAGAGTTTGTAGTATAGATTAATAGATATATGGACTAGGTTGGCTTCGTCAAAGGCATGCCGTAGTAAGTTATAGTACTTATTAATGGTGTTTGCTCTGTTTCAACCAGGACTATCTTTGGCCGAAGAAAAGAGTTTCAGTTATCTATGTCCAAGACTGAGAAGGGCAGAAGAAAAACTTTAACCGACCCGATTGAAACACCACACCCAACGAACAACAGGCCGGCATCATAAAAGTGGTAACTAATCAAGCGGAGTTTTCATCAAAATTCACCGGGTTTTAATTAGTCATAACCTTCCGATCAATGTTTTTCAACCCGTTGTTGACTTGGTTGGTTGAACTGTTTGAACCGTTAATCGATTTGACTTGACTGATTGAACCGTTCAAACCGTTATCCGATTAATGATTCCAAGTTCAATTCAATCAAGACCCGTCAGACGGTAAAAAACCATTGACTTGGTCAAGAATCATTTGACCCAGACGGTTCGACCATTAACTCATTCGACCTAGTGTGCAGGTTGTACACTCAATGTATACAAACTTTCGGAGGCCATAACATTGCACTCCGATGCCTGATTGGTTTTTTTTTTTTATTTTGGGTAACTTTTTGAAACCTATGCATTCCAAGGTGTTGTAGGCACCTTGCCCCACTGTTTTGCGTAAAAACCCCTTTTGGCCTCAACTTGCATTTTTTATATTTTTATCAATAAAAATTCAAAAACATAAATTAAATATAAAATAATACATATCACATATCTAATATATATATATACACATATATATGCTGACATGACACGGTCTGAACCGACCCAGCCAGTCAAACCGGTGACTTGCGACCCGGAGGCAAAAATGGTTTGGCCTCCACTCAATTTTTAAAACATATCATATATTTTTGACATCATAGATTTTTCCTCATTTCAATTTGAATTCAGTTGGCCTTTTCAAGGATCCGTCGAATCAAATTATGTAAAGGAGTAGAGCGGCATCATCTCTGCGTGAACTAAGCCATAACAATAGCCATCATAATAATATTATACTAGCGGAGGACTCTTGCTTCGTAGGGGCTGGAATGGAACCATCGATCCATTGACCCGGTCCCTAGCCAAAAACCGTTGAATCGGTCAACGATTCATTGATTCGAGCAATCGAACCATCAAGCCATTAATCCATTCAATGGTTTTTGGACATTTTTTATTTTTTTTAATTGGGAACCATCCAGGCAATCGGATCCGTTTTATCCTAATCTCGGTCCCTGCCAAAAATCGTTGAATTGGTCAACAATTCATTGACCAGGCGGTCGAACCATTGACCCATTCAATGGTTTTTTATCATTTTTTTTAATTTTTGTTATTAGAATGAGCCATCCGTTTGAACCAAACAGTCGAACTGTTGATCCGAAAACTGGTGGCTAGGATGGTTCCGTTTTCAGGTCGTATGAGTCATATGCTCGAATGACATAACATGTATGCTAATGCTTAATGGACCTCACACACTCAATTTTTTGCCTGTAATTTTTGTTGTTAGAACGGGTCATCTATTTTTTTTTTTTAATTGGGAACCGTCTAAGCAACCAGTTCTATTTACCCAATCTTGGTCCCTGGCCAAAAACCGTTGAATTGATCAACGACCCATTGACCCGAGTGGTCGAACCATCAACCTGTTGACCTATTCATTGGTTCTTGGCCGTTTTTTTATTTTTTTTTAATTTTTGTTGTTAGAACAAGCCGTTCATTCAACCTGAATGATCGAACCATCGACCTGAAAACCAGTGGCCAGAACGGTTCCATTTTTGGGTCGTATGAGTCACGCGCTCGAATAACATGACGTATATGATACTGCTTAATGAACCTCACACACTCAATTTTTTGCTTATAATTTTTGTTGTTAGAATGGGTCGTCCGTTCGAACCGTCAACTTGAAAACCGGTGTCTAGAATGATTCCATAATTTTTTTGCTTGTAATTTTTTGTTGTTAGAACGAACCGTCCTTACGAACCAAATGATTGAACCGTTGACCCAAAAATCAGTGGCTAAAACGGTTCCGTTTTTTGGGTCGTATGAGTCACACGCTCGAATGACATAATACGTATGATACTACTTAATAGACTTAATCTTTTGCCTATAATTTTTATTGTTAGAACGGACTATCCGTTCGAATTGGATGATCAAATCGTCGACCCAAAAATCGATGGTCAAAACGGTTCCGTAATTTTTTGCTTGTAATTTTTATTGTCAGAACGGGCCATCCATTCGAACCAAATGATCGAACCGTCGGTTGTCAAAACGTTATTAACAACATTTATCAATAATAGTAAGTAATTATACTATATAATTAAATAATCATTAATGATAGTTTTAATAAGATTATTTAGTTATTTTTAATATAACAGTAATTATTAAATTTATGAATAGGATTTATACAATATTCATTAAATTAATAATTACCAAAATTAAATTAAATTAACAGTATTTTTCAGAAATAGTCAGTAATTATAATATTTTATTAAATAATCAATAACAATACTTTTAATAACATTTTAAATTATTTTTAATATTACAATAATTACTAAATTTATTAACAGTATTTATTAATAACAGTATTTATAATTTTAATTTAAAGTAAAATTAAAGTAAATATCTAATTATTAACAATATTTATAATAACAGTAGTTATTAATCAGTAATAATAATTAAATTATTAAATTACTGTAATAATTATTCTCACGCGGGATCTACTCGCATGAGTAGATTCCATTTCCTGGATGCAGAGAGCATCCATTTCGTATTAATAGATATATATAAGATTATGGACGAAGATAATGATAATGGAAACTTGTGGTTTTACCTTGTTCATTCTAGTAAGATATGCATGCGCTAAATTGACAGTAGACTATCAAGGCTTAAACCCAGAACACATGCCGGCATTGAAGTCATAGCTGTTTAAATTTTAGGAGGATCAATTTCCGCCAATTCCAAAAGTAAAACCAAAATAAACTTGGGAAGCCAATACGGAAACATTTACTTGCCAGCTCTTATTAGTTCATCCGACTAATTGTTAAACATGGCATTCCAAATTGTATTTTGATTCACAAAAGGCAATCACATTTTTATGCAATTCACTGATGCACAGTATATTCTTTTACAGCCAAGGACTATTCATACTTTTTTCTTTTCTTTTTTTTTTCTGAAAAGAGGTTTAACTGAAAAGGGAAATTGACACAACATTTACAGGAGACTGGTATAGTTACAACTTACAACACACTGAGCAGGATAAGGACTGAATAAATTACAATTTACAAGATGTACAAACTTACCTCCTCCCAGATTCCAGTTCATCCAATATCTTGATAGAATCATTTGTTTCAGATAATACTTTAAGTTCAATGTTGTTTTGTTCAACTTGTTGGTTCACAGTCTGTACCTCCATAACATCTACATTTACTGTGTTCACTATATCAGTTGGTTGTTCACTGGCTTTTGCTGCCTCCAACACCCCCAAGTATGCATAAGACCTAGAACCTGCAATGCAAACAACTAAGAGCATAAGTGAACAGAAACTTGTAGGATCTTTGAACTTCTATCAGGACTTGTACGGAATAAGCAATAGACAATATTAATCCAATATTTCTAAGTACTTGCTAATTAGGTTCCAACCAACTTTACACTAATTACTTGCATAAATGCTTCAACTGACAAAAGAGTACTATGAAACTCTATCCTAATTTTTTATACAGAAAGTATACAAGATTTTGTACTGTACATATTTCTATTTGTCCTCTTTCCAAACTGAGCCCAAAGGACATAACATAAGAAATATAAAGTAAAAAAATTGGAAAATCAAAATTTTATACATTATTGGATGTGTAAGTCTCAACAGCTATCAAAGTCACTTCTGTAGCATTACTCACTTCCAACAGCTTTTATTTGAATTCAGATTGGAGCATCATCAACATGTCGTATGAAGTGCTTGATTGTGATATCCTAATAAAACTGCTTTTCCAATTAGAAAACGGATGAACAAGAATCTTATTCATTGTCCTAAAATAATCAATCGTTCTTTTCTGTATAAAACCTTGTATTTGCATTGTACATATTTGTATTTGTATCCCCTTCCCCTCCCCTCCTAATTCCTAATTTATCTCCCAGTCTCGGGAGAGAGATTTTGGGAGATTGATTAGGAATTAGGAGGGGGAGGGGATAGGGATATGAAGGAGAGAGAGGAAGGGAAAGAAAGAAAAAACAAAAATGAAGAGGTGGGCCCAGAGAAAATTAAAATTTATACTTACAATAGCATAATATAACATAAATACATATATAGAAATTATGTATAAAATACATATTTAAATATGTGTGGGCTAGGCCAGGCTTGAAGTATTAGGCTCAGGCTTGGTCCTGATGCGGGCTCAGGCCTGGTCCAAGCCTAAACACAAAACCTAAAATTTAAGAGGAAACATGGAAAATTTCATTTTCCCAGATTAGGAAAGTAAGATGCTAGAAATTCTTTAAAAGTTGCTTTCTTTGAGTTCAAAATAATTTCCAAATTCCAATCATAACTTAGAGTCAGCTACAATAAATAACACTACTCTCATCATAACTTCAATGAGGCTTCAGCTCTACAATCACCATGTGTCCCATGTATAGAGGATCTGGACCTAGCATTAAGTAGGTTGCACATGAAAAAACACCATTCTAAAAATCAGAAAGATAGGAAAAGTTGCAGCCATTTCATCTGTGAATCATTTTCTAAATTCTACTGGTAGCTTATTTGACCTTAGATATAAATATAACTCTCTAAACAAATACATATAATTGGAATCATTTGATTGTGCTGATTTTTGTCTAACTATTGTTTAGAGTGGGATCTATCAGATGGCACCACAGTGCTGGTATGATGAGGACACCCTCATCATAGCATGCCTCTATAACTTGTATTCACCACATAAAGTAACAATTGACCTAAGCTAGTTTCTAGATCATATCATATATTTTAAGAGGAAAAAACATGTATAGAATGATAATTTATATTGGTTCTAGAAAAGAAGAGTATATGAACAAATCTGCATCACATAAATGAATCAATTCGTGAAAGTAAGTAGCTATTCCGAGTAAATATAAATAAATACCAAAACAATCATTGAATTTAATATTTCAAAGTGTTACCATAGGTATTATGTGGGGGTGGAAAGTATTGCAAGTAGCAAATTGTTGCCACTAAGAGGCCTGCAAAGATGCAGCATATAAAAGGTTGTAAGGTTAAGCACTGAAATCCATTGTTGGGGATTTCTGGATAGACAGCCCAAAACTAAATAAAAATCAGTACCATCACGAACCTAGAAGACCTCCGGCAAAAATGTCCTGCCAGTGGTGCATATAGTCATCCGCCACAGAAACGCCAACAAGAAAAGCCACAAGAAGAGGAAGCAAAACAATACATAGTTTTGCTGCATGCCCCCTACGGTCAAATGCTTTCATCTTGCCTGACAAGTACAATGATAGGAAACCAAGACCTGCAAAGGACCCTGGAAAAGGAATTTGAAGCCTTTGAAAGCTGTACTTACAATGGGGGGGAGGGGGATAAAGATGAATGATGACATGATGTGCAAGGATATGTTAACAAGGAACAAGCATTTGTCTTTCTTTATTCAGAAGTTTATTCTAGTTGTTCAGTAATTAATATAATACAAAGAAATGAATAGTTGACAAGACTTGTTCCTTATATGGGGTCGGAAACTATCCTGTTTTGCTGTTCTGTTTGGATTAGTGCCATATCCATTGTTAAATTATGAGCACTTTAATCATTTCTTACTACTTCAACCCATATCCTTCTTGGTTTGCCCCTAGTCCTTCTAGTCCCTCCAACTTGCAACAGATAGCTTCTTCCTACGATGTTGTAAATGGTCTTCTATGCACGTGACAAGACCATCTTAATCTACTTTCTCTCATTTTCTCAATATTGGAGGCTGGAGCTACTCCTAGATTCCTTCCAGTGACTCTGTTTCATATCCTATCATTTCTAGATTTTCCACTCATCCATCTTAGCATTTACATTTCTGCTACATTCATTTTTTTGGACATGTTGTTTTCTTGACTTCCCAACACTTTGATCCATACAGCATTACTGGCTTTACAATTGTGCTCTAGAAATTTGAAAATTTGAAGAAAAGGCATCAGCATTATGGGCTAAAAATACTTAATGTTGTATCATTAGATTCAAAAGAATCCTTATAATGCTTGATATATGATTTTGTCCCCATGAAAGTTTAATCTATAAAGCTAAGTGGCTAAACATGTATAAGTTGAAGTATAATAATGCTTACATGAAGTATGACCACTAGGTATATGTTTGGTTACGTTGTTGTTTCTCAAAGAAACATTGCCAAATTAGTGCCATATAGGCGTTTTGATTTTACCCAACTAACTTATTGTTTGGTCAAACTGTTTCAAGTAAACTGATTGTACTTTTCTTGCATTGGGTTATGTGAAAGTAACTTTTGGAGAAAACACCATAATGATATTTCTTGCTTTGAAGAAACATTTTCACCTTTTTGGTCCTATGTGGTGCCTAGCTGTCTTAAATAATAATAAAAAAATGTTTACTGGGTTATGTAGTATGTACACAACACCACTTACTTTTACATTTTCCAAGACAAAATTCAGGTTCAAACATTGACTGAGAAATGGCCATGGTACCAAACATACCCTAGGAAAGCTCTTGTAATCATCCTTTATTCAAAAGTACCCTTATAATGTTTGATATATAACTTTGTCACTTTGAAATATAATAATGCTTACATGAAGTATGACCACTAGGAAAGCTCTTGTAACCATCCTTTATGAGATTTGACTTTCCATGACATATCACATTTCCCAAATGATCATATACCTAAGAAAATCAAAGTCCAAGAAATTCTCTTATCAAGTATTCAGAATGTGAGGTAAAATAAAGCCTACTGCAAAGAAACATGTAAAAAGGATTAACCGCACCAACTATAAAGAATTTGGAGGTTATAGAAACATACATCCTTTCCATCAGGAAAGCAACGCCAAAAGAAGTCCGGTCGAGGCCGACCAACTGCATCTTTTAATGCATCCGTAATAACTCCCGTTATCAGTACAGAGAATAATATCCCTGCTCTTGCAGATAGTTTGCAACATCAGATCAACCATAATGAATGGTTATGTAGTTATGTAGTTATGTTAAAAAGATGCTTATTAGTAATAACGAAGTTGGGAAATATGGTACCTAGTATGCTATTGTGCAGATCATAAACATCTCTTCTATGAAAATAGAAAGCAGTAAATATGACAATGGGCAACAACACTGCAAACATCTGGTCATCAACAGAAAAGAAAGCCCATAAATTCTGGGTGCCTAAAAGTTAAAATGTATCTGCAGTTCAGTGTAGATGTAGACTATTCGGTTTACACAATATAATGTCCTAAAGGATACAGATAGACTTACAGGAACAGACCAAAAGGGGATAGTGGTGTCTTTCAGGGGATATTTGAGGTCATCCATCATATCCTTCCCCACAAAGCGGTGAAATGGATTTATGACATAGAAAGTTAACTCCAAAGCCCCAAGAAGAAACAATATAAGCCAGTCATGCTTGTGGAATTTTACGAGTGAGAATCCATGGGATTTTACAGTATGTGCGGGATTGAGCTGGACCTCCCTCATTCTCTCCTGGATAGAACACAGACATAATATCAAACAAGTTTACTGCACCAAAATATGATTTGCAGTAGACAAAAGAAGAAGAAGAAGAAGCCATAAGCTGGTTTACTATTTGAATAAAGGCAAAAATCATTTGAATCCCACTGAAACTGAATTAAACTAAAATCTGTTTCTAAAAGACAGAATGGAATTAGTACATCCACAAGGATCAAAGGTGAGCATGTGCAAGTAAACAAAAGAGCTCCTTGAGGTCATGGCTCTCCTTGATAGGTAATAATTACAAGGAAATAAGTGTGCCCTGTTTGAATAGAAAAGTATTTCTCATTAAATTATTCCAATGTCATGCAACAACTATACCGCCATCCTTGATGTAAGAAAGGTTTATTTAGTGGCTTCAAGATGTAAGAAAGAATATTTAAATGTGCGTAAATGAATCTTCTGGAGTCCAGCATATTAGTTATGTTCTCAGAGAGCCCCTCTTGGCACTTCTGTTTCATTCATCCCAAGTCTTCTTATGGGGGGATAAGAGTTGCATATTTCCAATATTGTTTGAAGTAAAGAACATATGTCAAGTCACGGGTTTCTTTTACATCTTTTCCCTTATTATTTTGCTATTTTCTTCCCTATCTCTTCACTGCTATTTTACCCAGATACGGGAAGCAGATAGCTGGGTATGGTATCAGATGTGAAATTTACACTAAAAATTGAAGTATCCAACATGATACACCACCCTTGTATAGGTATGCGGATATCATGGCTTCACTGGAACTTCCAATTGTAAGAGCCATTTGTCGCATTATAAGGAAGGAATGACCCACAAAATTGTCTTCAAGGTCTCACATCAATCAAAATTCAAGACTTCATAGAACCTTCGGATCCAAGATAAATGATGCTATTATTGATAAAAACGATAAATGGTATTATTTCAAGTAATCAGTCAATCCTTTAAGGTGTCAATGCTTCTTATCATACTTAAAATAAGATATTAATTTGATAGAAAACACAATTATTAAAAGTTAGGATGGGCCACTGTTACATTTATTTGGTTGAAATTCCAACTTTCCAAAATTATGGGAGACAATGATTTGAGCATTTTCAATTCTTATAAAAAAGTCTTCTAAGTAGATCCTTGAATCTAGTTGAACCATTAATACCAATCATACTCTATAATTCCAGTCTCATATTTGCAAATGAATCCCTTTAGACCCAAATGGCACCAAATAGAAGTCAAATGAATTTCATATTCCTAAAAGGATTTGCACTCAACAATCCCATAGAGAAATACAAGTCCTCCATCAGACTGTATAGCGGTCCTCTGTTTTTTTTTTTTTTTTTATCAATATAGCGGTCCTATGTTTTTATTTTTTTTTTTAAATCAATATAGCGGTCCTATGTTTGTAAAGCCCTTTTCAATGAATAACTGGTTTGCATTTATGTGTATAGGCTTCTATTGGTCTTCTGGCTTTCTCTGCTAGAGGGATGAAGTTGAAGAGGAATGGAGATAATTTAATTAAGGAAATTAGGGGTGTCAGGAGGGTGGGCCTTGGCGCAATGGTTGGATTGCTCTTGCTCCAGTGTGACCTGGGTGACCAGGGTTCAAATCTTGGAAATAGCTTCTCTGTATGTGCAGGGGTAAGGTTGCGTTCTGTCCCTCCCCATACCCCACATTGGCCGGAGCCTGGTGCACTGGGCTTCCCTTTAGGTGCTGGTAAGCTAATCTATACTCTAAAGTCTGAAAGCCAGGGAAAGGAGATAGGCAACTGAGAGATATTGGAAAGGTGACATGCTCGGTTGAATAGCTTTAAAAAACTAAAGCTCTCTAGACATTCAAATTGGGAGATGAACTGTATCTTCTCCTTCAAGATCAAGTATGGACATCAAATGACAAGGCTTTAAAAAATTCTATACCAATGTTCCAAGGAATCTGAAACTATGAATTCTAGCTAAAGTAAAACCTATTTAATTAATAATTTAAATACAAAAAAAAAACTCTTGTAGCTCTCTGCATCATAGCCATAATTATGTCAAATGGCAAGGAAATGACATGATCTTGGATTCATAAGTTAAATGGTAGCCTTTCTAATGTTTAAAATTAAGGTCATCAGGTCATTTTAGAACAGAAAGTGTGGTTACAAGTAGAAAGATGTAGTAAATAAATTGATTGTCATCATTAACCCCCAAGTAAACTCTGCTGTCTTCTTCACATCTGAAGCAACTAGAAGACCTTTAATTCTGGTCTTCCAAGATAATTTGTGCACATGGTTGACAGTTTCCACCTCTACATAACTTCCAAATAGGGCATAAAATTGATTGACAGTTTTCATGTGTTCTCTCTTTTCCCAAAAATGTGAAAAGAAGATGGATTGCTAACATAAGAACATTGCCATCCAAAATTTAATGCCAAGATGAAATATAGGCAAAAAAAATGTATAGGCGAAAATGAAACAAGGTGCAGAATCTTATAGGATAAGAGAGAAGCAGTGAGATGGAGGAAAGCGGTGGAACAAGAAAGAAAATGAAGAGCAGTGACCAGTCAGTGAGATGAAAGAAAAGCAAGTAGCTCTGCACTGTTTACCTCAAATCCTTTGTCGTAAAATCCTGTATTCTCACGTCCTTTATTAAGACTGGACCCTCCACAGTCCACACCCTCCACTTCGACAGTTCCAGTTTTCTAGAGCGAGATTCGAGAACGACGAAAATATGCAGGAGAACAAGAGATATATACGACTATACGAGAGTCTCGTAACGAGACAGACAGAGAGAAAGAGTTGGCAGAAAAACATGACTCCACGTTTAAATGAGATGACTGGCGGTAGGATTTGCTTGTGCAGGGGATCACCGTTAACTTTCATTTCAAGGATCATGTTGACTACCTTCCTTCCTAAGGAGTATCAGTCAATGCTGTCTTGTAGTACGCTAGTTATTGTACCTCCAAATCGAAAGTTTGGCATCTTATGGCAGAGTTGATTGTGACTACTGACACCCCAACAGCTCGATTGGAATCGTCTAGGGTTCAAACTATAGATCCAGTATATTATCTCCACTCTCAATAAAATTGTCTATTTGTCCAGACTCCATTGATTTATTATTCATTAACACTGTTTGCTCTTGTTTGCTCCGACGCATCTACGCCATTGATTTATTATTTATTAACACTGTATCTGTGGGGCTCAAAGTGGTCTTATGCTGCCACGTAACCTGAGAAGATGAGCTGGAGACAGTTGTCGGTTAGTTTCAGTACATTTGAAGGTTGGAAACTTGGAATGGCCACCTGTTTATTCCTGCAGCACTGCACGTAAAAAGATTCCATCGAAACGAGACAGCTCCAGACGCCCAGAGGGTATCTGGCATCTCGATGCATCTTACGTTACGTTAAAATTGGAACATCGTGTGAGGGACCTACTGGAATGGAATGACACGGTCACGATATTCTCATATTCTGGATTTGTGAATTGTGGTATATCATGCACTTATCCCTCCCTTGATTCCCCAAGAAGAGAACGCAAACTCGTACTGCTGCAGGAGCTAGCATTTCTCTTACATGAAGTAAATAACGCTGCCCTCCCATTCTATTGGATACTAGAAATATAAAATAATTCATGCTTGAACCAGAAAATATCCTCCCTTGATTTTTTTTTTTTTTTTTATAAATACTAAAATATCCTTTTTATACAAATTTGACTAGGGCCTCGTTTGGGTATAAGGGTTTGGAATGATATCGAAATCGGATTGGGCTATTTTAATTCCAACTATTTGATTAAGCAGAATCGAAATCTCATTCATATTCCTACTAAAATGATATTTTTCCTATTTGAGAGAATGGCATTCCCTGCCCCTTCCATGGGAATAAAATCCCATTCCTACTAAAATACTAATTTCAAATATTATTCCCATTCGTTCATCAAACAGAATATGGGAATAGACCATTCCAATTCCCATTCCGCTTCTGATTCCACTGCAAAACAATTGGACGCTAAGATCTCCCATATTAAGTGAAATCATATGGGACAAAAACCTCTTCTCCCTTAATAATTCATGAAAATCTGTTAAGATGTGACATTATATATGATTTTTTTTTTACAAACCCAATTTTGTTCTTTAAGATCCCTATTAGCAATTTAAATCATACTCCTCATTTTCTATGTTGCTCTCTAACTAGACTTCTGCAATGAATTTGGTCTGTTTCTTTGCTTTCATTCACAAATAATAAGGGCACTCACTTTGCTCAAATATGTTCTTTACATAACATTGAATTTAAACTTCTGGATTTATTTTCTTAGTTGGGATAGTGATGGAGGAGCCAATTGACGTCAGAAGCCTTAAAGTTGTTAGGATTGGAGATCGATTCCACAAGTGATTTCAAGTTAAGCATGCAAAAGGGAAGTGGCGGAGCTAGAAGTTTTCTTTTGAGGGGGCCAATTTAAACAAAAGAATGAGATAAAGAGGAAAAGTAGGGTTTGGAGAAAATTGGTCTGAGAAAGTTTGATTTTTTTATAAAAAATAAATAAATATATTTTTTAATTTTGGGAGTTGGAGGAGTCTTGGAGAGTGATCATTTACAATTTTAGTTTAAATTTTGGGAGGACAAAAAACCTACTTTATTATATTTTTAACCCAACCTCCACTACGTAATCATGATTTTAATAAAAAGTTTGGGGAAGGGGCAAGGGGCCCACCAATATACTTGGCTCCGCCCAAAGGGTACTAAATGGAAAGTTGATTGTGGGACATTGTGATGATTTCGTGGAGAGGAGATGTTTATGTTTTAAATAGTAAGTTGTTTATGTTACTTGAGAGCCCTCCCTAACCCTAACGTTGCGGTGATGTTTACGTTAATTCGTATGTAAATAAACCAAACCCCTTCCACCGTTTTAATTCCTATATTTACGTTAATCCCCAAGTAGCATGAAGAGCCGAGATATAAGATATTTATAGCGGCAATGGAAACACGATCATCAGAATACTCTTTATACTTAGCATCCCCGGCGCCAAATTAACTGGGCCTGAATTTTATCAAAAAAAAAAACTAAAAAACTGGGCCTGAGTCCACAAATATTGGACCTGATTATAATTGGAACTAACTCGAGTCCATGCATTTATGATCCATTGAGAACAGGATCCAACTCTAGATCCAGTTAGTGGGTAATTAGGTCCAACAATTTCACAGGTTTAGGTCTGGACTCTGGAGATAATATGGTCAGAGTCTTGACACGTGGCTAACTAATAAATCCATGAACCCGTCAAAAAAGGGCCAAAGCTTTCGAGTAAGGATTTTGAAATTACTCGAAAGAGTAAAAAAATTCTTTATAATTACCATATTCTCTAAGATCGAGTAAATGAATTAGTTAGTTCAATTTTGAAAATCCATATGATAATTTCACCTTAACATGGAACTACAGATTGCCATGGAAAAAGAATTTGGGCTTGCAACAACTCCCATACAAGATTCATAAGATTTTATTCTGGTGGCTACAAATTGGACCATTGCTCAAGGCCTTAATCCCAGGTAAGGTCAAGCTCGGCCCAATGCCACTGACCTACATTGAGTTTTCTTGGTGGGCTTCTGTTGGACTCATGTAGTTTGCACTATTGGTTTGGTTGGAAAAGGAAATAAAATAATAAAAAAGCTTCTTAGATTTTCTTTGTTAATAAGAGACAGAAGGCAAGAAAGAAGGTATATATTCCTAACAGAACAAAAATAAGATGAAAAATGTATAAGAAAGAGATGAGGTGAACCCTAAGAAATGTGAGCTGTCTAAATAGCTAGTGGTCTGAAATGTTTTTTGAAGTTTATAAAGAGAGAAGCAAGGTATAATAGCAAAATGGTCGACACCCTAGTTTGATGTTTATAATCACACCATTCTGTCCTATAGTTCTCTACAAATCTTCTTTTTCATGCTTTAACCTACTTAGTTTTCTGCTCTTACGAGATTCAACTGCTTTGGAGCTCTATGTTTGAGCCATTGTTAATTTCTTATGATGTTTTTAAGAGATTTTCCATTTTTTTGGTTTTTTAATTAGAACTTGTTCTTTTTTTTTTTTTTCTCTTATAGACATCGGGTTTACTGCTTTTTATTTGAATTGTTTGGATGTAATGAATGGAAGAACACATTTCAGAAGAAAAACTCAACCTCTCTAAGGGGGTGTTCTTCAATGTGAATTGTTTTTCTTCTGCAAGCTTCAAAAACAAATTAAAACCATCTGTTTTGAAAACAAAATTGTTCTTAAAACAAAAACATGGTTCTCGGCTTCATATATGTTTTTTTTTTGTTTCCAAAACTGAAACAAAAAAAACTTGAATTTCTGGTTTGAAAATCATGTTTCATAATTCATATAATGATCTCTCATCATCTTTCATAAACCATAAAATATCTGCACTCCAAAATTTGATTTTGTATTAAAGACCATGACTTTGATGATCCACAAACAAGAGTTGTGTTCTGAAACAAAACTAGCTTTTACTTATCAAAACAAAAACACAGTTCAAGAATGTTTTTTTTTTTTTTTTACTGTGGAAATTTAAAGAAACAAATGAAAACAAAAAAGAAAAATAAAAATTCAAGAGCACCCCCTATATTTTAAATGTGTCTATTAGAAATCCCCAACACATATTCCTTTCTATTTTCACCTATTATAAGGGATGGCACAGACCCTTAAGATAAGGGGCATCTGAATTAGTGAATTAACCCTGTGTTTAGGCTGTGTTTGGATGATAGAAAATGAAAGAAGAACAGAAAGTCGAGGGAAAGGTTTTAACAAATTTTGCCTAAATGTCCCAATCTGAGCTGAAACGGAAACATCATCAAGTAATAACTGGGCCTAGGTCTGTCAATGGGTCAAATTCCAACCTGATAACCTGCACTAAGATTTGTAGCTGCACATCAAGAACTACTGAACTAGGCCCAGATGAATATTAAAACAATGGGCCCAATGCACACTGTTAACGGGACAAGCCCAGCATCCGAGGAGCTAACCAGGCACTAACAGCCCTTGCCCTACACCAACCAAAGTCGACAAACTAATGTAGGTGGTTCAAGAGAATTTTGCTCCTAGAATCCAAATATCCAATGCTATCACTATGCTCTTTTCTCATGCTTCATGTGGACTAGAGGATCCACTTTACAATTAGAGAGCTGGTTTGTGGCTGTAAAGGAGAAGAAAAACAAGTAGCTGGGCTTTTGTTAACCGTCGATTAAACTAAAGACCAAGGTGAAATAGCTTTAGCAGTATAGCTCTTAACTGTCATAACGTTAGGTGTAAACGGGCTTTGCAACGGCTGACAGCCTGACACAATTTCTTATTTTATTATTAGATATACATCAGATAATGCAGGGAAACCACGTATATTCTAATTCTAGGGATTGGAAATGATGAAGATGGTAGATGGATGGCCTGATAACGAGGGCATAATAGTCATTAAATAAAAAAAATGAATCCTAGTTATCTGTTCTGTTCATTCTTTATTGCTATAACGATCGGCTTTCAAAGTAAAATAATACCTTCCAAGTTCCAACTCTGCTTCGTTGCATTATTCCAACGATAGATATAATAATATTAAAAATAAAAAGGTTAAGAAAATACTGAATTAAATAATTAACACTTTTTTGGTAATCAAAAAATTAATTAACGCTAAGACAACCGATAGGACGGTTATAAGAAGTGTCGGATGGGGACTAGTTCTTAGACGACCCGTTTAGCAAAAAGGTCGAGACAATTTCAGAGAATCTTTCCTGCGGTAGCTGATGTGAATATGTGATAGCAAACAAGGGTTCCATGGGTTTCCTGCTCCACCCTCCATTTATGAGGGCAAAGGACCTGTGTAGGGATGATAATGGTAATGGGGTGGATATGGGGAGGGTTTTGTAAATTTTAGATCTCATTCATCTCTCTAAATTTTCAATTTAAACCTGCCCCAAAATTCCAAGTGGATTAGATTGAAAATCCAAACTC